CATGGGGAATTACAGTCAGATACAGTCAGATACAGCAAGACAGTCAGACACAGTCAGACACAGTCAGATACAGTCAGACACAGTCAGATACAGTCAGACACAGTCAGATACAGTCAGACACAGTCAGATACAGTCAGACACAGTCAGATACAGTCAGACACAGTCAAACACAGTCAGACACAGTCAGATACAGTCAGACACAGTCAGATACAGTCAGATACAGCAAGACAGTCAGACACAGTCAGATACAGTCAGATACAGCAAGACAGTCAGACACAGTCAGACACAGTCAGATACAGTCAGACACAGTCAGATACAGTCAGACACAGTCAAACACAGTCAGACACAGTCAGATACAGTCAGACACAGTCAGATACAGTCAGATACAGCAAGACAGTCAGACACAGTCAGATACAGTCAGATACAGCAAGACAGTCAGACACAGTCAGACACAGTCAGATACAGTCAGACACAGTCAGATACAGTCAGAGACAGTCAAACACAGTCAGACACAGTCAGATACAGTCAGACACAGTCAGATACAGTCAGATACAGCAAGACAGTCAGACACAGTCAGATACAGTCAGATACAGCAAGACAGTCAGACACAGTCAGACACAGTCAGATACAGTCAGACACAGTCAGATACAGTCAGACACAGTCAAACACAGTCAGACACAGTCAGATACAGTCAGACACAGTCAGATACAGTCAGATACAGCAAGACAGTCAGACACAGTCAGATACAGTCAGATACAGCAAGACAGTCAGACACAGTCAGACACAGTCAGATACAGTCAGACACAGTCAGATACAGTCAGACACAGTCAAACACAGTCAGACACAGTCAGATACAGTCAGACACAGTCAGATACAGTCAGATACAGCAAGACAGTCAGACACAGTCAGATACAGTCAGATACAGCAAGACAGTCAGACACAGTCAGACACAGTCAGATACAGTCAGATACAGTCAGATACAGCAAGACAGTCAGATACAGTCAGATACAGCAAGACAGTCAGACACAGTCAGATACAGCAAGACAGTCAGACACAGTCAGACACAGTCAGATACAGTCAGATACAGCCAGATACAGTCAGACACAGTCAGATACAGCAAGACAGTCAGACACAGTCAGATAGTCAGATAGTCAGATACAGTCAGAGCAGTCAGTCAGATACAGTCAGACACAATCAGATACAGCCAGACACAGTCAGATACAGCAAGACAGTCAGACACAGTCAGATACAGTCAGACACAGCCAGAACAGCAAGACAGTCAGACACAGTCAGATACAGTCAGAACAGTCAGATACAGTTGGACACAGTCAGACATAGTCAGATACAGTCAGATGCAGTCAGACACAGTCAGATAAGGTCAGATACAGTCAGAAAATCAGACAGTCAGACACCGTCAGAACAGTCTGATACAGTCAGACACAGTCAGTCCTTTGTGTTTGAACTCATAAAGACATGAGTCTAAACTTGTGTCCTCTGTCTCTGAAAGGTCTACAGTTGTATTCTCTAACCTTGCAATAGACAAGAACTACAGTACATCTGTAACCACGGTAACAAAGATGATATCAAATTTTAGTTAGTAGTTTTCGTGACAACATTTTCATCAGAAGATGAAATGACATGAAGATCAGATGTCTAACAGTGACAGTTTCACCTGCTGAGGTTTAAAATATCCAGAGCTCAGCTCCAGTAAACGTCTGCAGCAGTTCATTAAACTGATCTGAGACCACGTCAGACCACATCAGAGCAGACCTGACAACAATGAGACCTGATCCAGAATCTGTTGGACCTGAACAGACCCAAACACTTCCTCTGTACTGTGTCTCTGATGGAACAAAGACTTCAGTCAGTGTCGGCAGAACAATGTGGAGACAGTCTGACCTTGGTGGGGAGGGGGAGTGGATGGTGATGGCGGTGGGGGTCCTGAGAGGCCACGGATGTCCTTTGTTGAGCCTGAACATTAATTATCCTCCTGTTAATAAAAAGTCTCACCTGCTGAGAAGGAGGAACCTGAACTGCGTTAACAGGTGTCCATAGTAACAAAGGGGAGGGGGGGCAAAGAAATGTGTTGTCATCAACTGCTCACACAGGGAGGGGGGGTCACATGCTACATTTGTTTTCAGTGCAACAAAACTATCCTGCAGTTGGTCTCCAGAGACCAGACCTGATTAGACTGGAGAGAATCTGGACCAGGTCCTGGTTCAGGTCCAGTCTTCAGTCTTCAGACCTTCAGACCTTCGTCAGGAGCAGGTGGAGGTGTCAACTGATTATTTCTCTGTTCACTGATACATGTCAGTCTGATCTGGTCTCAGATGACAGGTTCAGTCCATCAGGACCTGGCGACTGTCTGACAGTAAAACTCAAAGCCGGACTCTGTCTTTTAACTCCTCTCCTGTATCAGTCTCAGTTACCAGAATCCAAGTGGATCTGTGTGGACCAGCAGGATCAGCTGCTGCAGACTGAGGATCAGAGAGGTTTTCATGGTACCAGCTCAGACAGAGAGCAGCTTCAGGTTTCATTAGTCCTGCTCCTGACCGGTGGGGGTGTGGTGGGAGTGGGGGGGTGGGGGTGGCGGCAATTTAATGGAAATTACACACTCGTCCATTTTGGGAAGATTCAGCGTCGGGTTGACGGAACTCATCGATCAGCGGGACGTCCCGACCTGCTGAACCAAACATGTTTCTGTTTGAATCTCACCCTTCTTCCCCGGGGAAGGGGGGGTGACAGGCAGCATGACCGTGACCAATCAATGGACTGGGGGGCGTCTCCGCCCCGCCCACCCCCACAGAGGGAGGAGGGTTACTGAGAGGACACACTGTTCCCACTGAATCTGAATCCTGCAGAGGAAACTGACTGTTCAGGGTCCAGTCCTGGACTGGTCTGAAGTGAACTGGTCTGAAGTGAACTGGTCTCCTGGTCTGCATCAGACAGGATGCCTTCAGTGAACCACATGTTATCCCACAGTGCTGAATGAGCAATGAAACATGATCATACTGATGATACATACATGATCACACATGATGAGAGTCATGAGCAGCTTTAGGTACGAAGCTTCTGGGAAACAACTGTTACTAAATGAATCAATGAATCAATTAGCCAATTAACAGAAAGTTAATCAGCCACTATGATAATCAAATTATCTTCTTTAGCAATTTTCAAGAATAAAATTTGTTGGTTCCGTTTTTCTTTGTCTCAGGTGAGTGAACTGAATCGTCACCTGAAAACTGAAACTCACCTGTTCCACACCTGTACTGTGCACACCTGTTGTGTATTGTTGTTTATACTTGTACACACTAAAAGGAGTCACACACCTGGTCTGCGTTAACAAACAAAAGATGATTTTCATTCTCTGTGAAATATTTCTTTGTCTCTACTAAATGAAGGCTGGTTGTGATGTCACTGCTGACATCATCATGGTAAACTGAGTCTCAGACCTGCGGTCTGTGTGTCTGTCTCTGAGGACACAAACTGTCTCAGGCTCAATGAACTTTCTGTGAGTCGTCTTCATTTGATGAAGTTTGAACTTCTTCGACAGTTTAAAGGTGAAAGACGCCGAGAGGAGTTCGTCTCATCAGCTGCTGAACTGAGTGAACGAAGCAGCAGAGACTCAGGTTCTGGTTCAGTCTCAGTCTGATGAATTAAAACAAGATGTCTGGACTTTAGTAACGTTCAGCTGAAGTTTGTTAATATTAATATTTTCATTTTCTGAACTTTTTCTTCTTCCCCATGTCATTTTTTCAAACCTCTGAATAATGTTTCAAATAAAAACCCGGCGCACACTGAAGACTCTCCTGTCTGGAGATGGTGACAGAGGGGAGGGGATGGGAGGGGATGGGGAGGGTGTGGGGGTGTTAAAGGTCAGAGGTCAATGGTGTTTGATTTGTTGCACTCTGGAGTGTGAAACCTGAAACCTCACAGCTCTGCAGACACACTGAGCGCGTGCAGAACGACGCCTTATTTTTGGAAAACACAGCAGTGTAAATCCTTTCACTGTGTCCTCGTCCGCACCAGACTCTGTTTTATTTTCTCACATTTTTACACTTTAAATTGTCAGAGACGAGAAACTGAAACTTTCATTAAATTTAACAGAGAGAGAGAGAAATCTAAACCTGATTCAACCAATAACATTAAAACTAAATCAACAGTAAAATGAATTAAAAATGGACGTCACAGTTCAGCAGCCCAGTTTGTTCAGTTCACTGCAGGAAAAAAACGAAATAATACAATACCGATCAATTTCAGCTGATTATCAGCAGAAGTTACTGATTAGTTTTCAAATTGAAGTTTAAGATGATAAAAATCCGAATTAGTAGATGCAGAAAAAAACGGTTTTGAAGAGTTTAAATCAGTAGGAAGGTTTGATTTTTATCATCAGAGTCAGACTCACAGGAAAACATATGATTCATCAAAAAGAGCTGAATAATAATTATTAATAATAATAAAACTCGAGATATTTTTGAGTTGTTAACTTGAACTTGTCTAAACTGTTTCAGTCCGACTGATTTAAACACAGTCGTTCATCTGTGTCAGCAGCAGACGCCACGGAGTCGTCTGCTGAGAACAAACAATTACATTTATCAAATATTTCTGCTTTGTTTCATAATTATTATATTATATATTATTGATAATTATCTGTATTTCCAATGATTAAATCGATCTTTGCTTCATTGATAAAGTCTGCAGGGGTTTTTTTGTCTTCATAAAAACTATAAAAAATATTTACAACTATTTTAATAATTCTAATAATTTTAATCTTTGTCAAGTGATTTTTAAAATGAAATTCTCTGGTTGCAGCTTCTGAAATGAGAATATTTACTGGATTTCAGAGACAGAAAATATGAACAAAACAAAACATTTAAAGACATTTTGACAGATGAATTGATAACTTTCCCAAAAAAATAACTTGAAGATAAATCATTAATAAATAAGGGTTAATTGCGGGTTTGACACGCAGCACTGAATAACTGAAGATCTGAGTTTTACTGTGAAATTTCAGGAGTATTTCTATTTATACGGTTCACACAGAAATAAAAGTCAAACCAAAACATTATGATTTTAAATCAGGTGGTGACATTAAAAATAAATCGAGTAAATTTAAATTTAAATTTCTCTTGAAATAAATAAAAGCTGTTAACTTGTGATTATTATGGTGATTTTATTCTGTAACAAAATCAATACAATATAATGTATTACAATAATACTGACACACACACACACACACACACACACACACACACACACACACACACACACACACACACACACACACACACACACCTATCATTATTATTATTACTTAAATGTTTCTTTCTTAAGATTTAATCAATGTATTTTTTTTTTACAATTTATTTAAAGCCATTAAAAAAACATAATGTTAATATCATATATCATATTAAAGTACATCAATACTCTTATTACCTGTGTAGCAGTAAAGAAAATATTCTTCTACAGAGTTTTTGTTGTTAAAATTAATTTAGCTTTATAGTGAAATTATGATAACAATAAATTTAAAATTAAATTTAATGTTATTATTGGAATCTACATTTAATTGAAATAAATGCAGTATTAAATATATAAGAGTATATGTAAAAAAATATATTATAACGTTATTAGAACTGCTCCTGCTAATATTATTTTACATATAAAATATTTGTATATTTTATAACATTGAAACTTTAAATATCATAAGTTAAAGAGTCATAAGTTTAGAGTGGTTTGGGATTTAAGAGAAAACATAATTAAAAACAACTCAATTTAAATTTAAAGTAAAATTATTTTAGAAACATAAAATCAGCTTCTTTAATCAGCCAGTAAAATAAGGACAACAATAATGAGATGTGTAGAAAATATGAGAAGAAATATTTGATAAGACTGTTAACTTTCCTGGGTTCTTTGTGGGTTAGAGAGGAGGGGGTCTGGGGGGGTCTGACGGGGTCTGGGGGGGTATGAGGGGGTCTGGAGGGTCGGAAAGAGTGGTGAGTTGAGAGGGTGGATTAGTTCTGCTTGGGTGACCACCGCCCCCAACCCCACCCCCCTCTCCTCTTTGTCCCAGCTGTCAGCGGTGGATACGCTCCACCAATCACATGCTGCCGTCAACAATAGCTGCATCATTCCCAGAAACCCCAGAGAGGACGGAGACGTCGCTCCACAGATCGTCCAGGAGGGGAACTGATTTCATCTGAACTCTGATTTCATCTCCTCTGACTGATCACAAACAACAACAACAACAACAACAACAACAACAATACCACCACACACCGAGCCCCAGACACACAGCTGTGACCTTCCTCATGTTGTGTGTCATTTTCTCGTGGTCGGAGCAAACACACACTGATTTCATTTTCTAAACTTTTTGATTTCTGACAGAAAAAGTTTCAATTCCTGCGTCTTTGCTTCACAGAAACACAGACTGACCTCTGACCTCTCTGTTAGTTTCATGTAAGAATCTCATCATCGTTATTTTTAGACTCGAGGTGAGAAACCAACAGGTGTGTCATTTCACTTTCATGATCTCCGAGAGGCCCCTGAACGCCTCCTGAACGAGGCCCCTGAACGAGGCCCTGACCCCTGACGACCAACAAGTCAGACTGAGTGAACAGGATGTTTATGATGAAGTATTTTCAGATTAAAACATCATAAACTAACAGATGTTTCATGTTCCATATTCACATACAGAGGTTTAAAGATGTTTGTAGGAAAGATGAATATTTAGTTATGATCATAAAATAACGAGTAACAAATGATTTTAATTGACAGGGCAGCTCAGTGGCTCAGAGCGTACCACATGGGTTTAGTCCGAACTGCAGCAGCCGTGAGTTCAAGTCCGACCCGCGGCCCTTTACTGCATGTCACCCTCCACTCGCTCCCTGGCATTCCTGTCTCTCTCTCACTGCACCTTTCAAAATAAAGCAAAAAATTCCCCCCCAAAAAAATTTTTAAAAAAAGATTAGTAATGTTTTAAAACTATGTGACATTTCTAATATTTCTTCTGTTTTTCTTTCAGGTCTTTTTGTTTATTTTTAAAAAATCATTATTTAATGTCTGTATGTTGAAATTATATCAGTATATTTTATTTTAGCTGCTGCACAAAGACAAAAACCTGTTGTAATATCTTAATGATCTCTGGTCGTTAACAACCTCATCAACACAACTAAAACACTTCCTGTTCTTTGACCTATCGGCACAGTTGAACCCGTCAGTAAAGGAGGGGGGGGGGCTGCTGTCCTCTGGGCCCCCAATGGGGGCCACAGTGGACCCCCGCCCAGTCTTATCAGCACCTCGACACGGCCTGGATTACACAGCCCCAGTGGCTGCTGGGAGTTCTGCTAATCTGACCGCTCATTAATATTTAACAGAAATCCTGCCAGGAGACGCAGACATGAGCAAAGAGACCAAAGACCGAGACCGAGCTCTTCTGCTCTGGTTGGACAGGAGCCACTGTTGTTGTCGTTTGGCCCTCTGACCAGCCAATCAGCTGCAGCG